GACTTTTTTTAGCAGGTGTTAACTGCGAGTGTTGTTAGTTCATTCATTTCAACACTTTATTTTTTTTTATTTCCTTTTTGTTTTTATGATCGTGTTTCAATCGGCTGAGCATATGAAAGCCACTAATTAATTTTTAAAAAGAACATGACAGTAAATTTAGGGTTCCAAAAATAATAACCTATAAAATAGGAGCTCATCTGGTTCCCTGGCGGCTAATAAGTTCAACACACGAGTCAAGAGGTGCATAGGTATACATCGGCTTTGTGAGAGAACGTGTCGAGCGAGGTGGAGAAAACAGTTCTCAGAACTCACAAGATGAAGCACTAGCCAGAACGTTTACTGCAGTCTCCCTCACGTCAAACGTCGTTAAGCATTCAAAATATATGAGCCACTTAAAGACCGGAGAGTACAGCGGCCGAAACGTTAGGATAAAAAAATCATAACAAAAGAAATTAGTTCGATGGAAGAATATTTTTATTTTTGTTTAAATGCAACATTCCTTTATGATGAAGACAGTTATGGCTATCCACATATTTCCTTTTATTACCTTTGAATTTCTAAGAAGACAGCTTAGAAAGTGATTTCTAACGAATTAACGGATTTTATTTATAATCCGACAGTATTTTCTTGATTATTTAAACGTTCTTTATTAAGATGTTCAAATGCACAGGCCGGTAGATGTAAATTTAAACTGATTAAAAAACATATGTATCAACTATTTCGTTGCCCTCTAAAAGGTTTAAAGGGATAATTTCGAAACGAACCTTTTTGTTTCGCCAGCATACTTATATAAGGAGATGGGTAATTGAATCAAATCAGAATCAATGAATTAATTTTATCAATTCTCTAATGCTGCTATCATCGTAACATACCCAGAGTCGAAATACGACATTCATACGCGAATCACAGTCCGACGTAAAACAACATATCTAGATACCAACCATTTACACAGACAACTACTACGCCAGAATAGATTCAATTACGAGAATGGATAATATTATCATTTTATGCCTCCTGGTACATTTATGTTATAGAGTAGTTTCACAGTGGAGGCTTGTATTTCACTAAGTCGGTCCTAAAAAGGTTCGACGTACAAAACGTTAGGAACTTGATATAATAGATAATGACGCAGCAATCTAGTTGTGGTGGCTGATACTTTAATGTCCGACATCGACTGACTCACCAACTCTCTGAGCTCACTGACGACTGCTACTACTACTTATTATAGGTGGGAGAGTCTATTAACTATAGAATAGGTGTGTTCCAATATAACAATTTGTCCAGTAAACAATATTTGGCGGACTCATATGATTCCAGGTAAAACATGAAACAAAACAGAATTCAAACAGTTAATAAATGTATTAACAAGATATATTACAGAAGGATAAAGAAAGAAATGAAGTTAAAGTTATGAGCAGTTCAATGTAATCTTCATTCTGTGTCTCTGAAGTACTTATATGCCTCATGTCTATCGGAGCGAAAGTAATCGTATGTTGCTGCTCCAAAAGTCAAAGAGAAAAGAGAAAGAGGCTTTCAAATATCGCGCCACCTGTGATTATCGTTAGAGTGCGATAATCCAACAATACATATATATACTCCAGGACTCTCTTGGTAAGCACAAGGACATTTACCTTTGAACTCTTTAAATGTTTTCGTGTGACTTCATCGGACTAACAACTAACACCAAACAAAAGGCTCAAAATAGAAAAGCGGATCTTCCTGAGAAACCCAATGGATCAAAATATATTGTTCTGCCCACCAACTCTATCACAACTACAACGGAAAAGAATTTATCTAAACTCAACATAAAATTTGTTATAACTATTTCTAAACCAATAAAAGCTTGTAGAGTAGACGCAAATGACAAAATTATACATACCGTTCAAGGGCTCCGCGCAGCTTTTCGGGTTTCAAACATACTTCAAATTTTCAATTTAATAAAATAGCCAATAAAATCATCTCCGACCAGTAAATAAACACAGGCTTCTGGAGCCGACTATAAAAAAAAACAGACATTCATTCAACTCAGCAGAAGGACTGACAGCAGTAAAGAGACACGAGTCAACCTCAGCGTCTTGTCTTTTTCATCAAACCAACAGTGAACTCCCTTGGATCTTGTCACCCAACTCCACTTTCTCTCTTTCTCACTGAAAGACTATTCATGTTCATTTCCTTACAGTCAAAGAGAATAAATTTCTAACTTTCATTTCACGATAAGTAATTAAAGTTAAAATTTGTGTATCCTACGTTTAAATAAATATCATTTTATTTAAACATGCAACAATCTTTTCTCTCATTTTTTTTTTATTCAAACGGTGATCCAAGGAATCTTTCTCCAACAGGCTGAAACGAAGGAGAAAAATTGCCATAAGGACTACACTGGAGATGCCTGAAGGAATTTAAATAAAAGATTATATGAACACAAACAAGATCTTTTACAAAAACACTAATGCTACTCTAATTAAAACAGAGAGTAATTTACTTAGATAAAAATGTATAGAAAGTGCTTTAATTGTTCGATTATCCACAGTAAATCTACGTTCATTTTCTTACAATATTTCGCCTTTCTTAGCAGAAATTTTATTATTACAATGTGGGATATTTAAAAACAAAAGTGATGGAAACATGAACAAAAAGAAAAAGAAACTAAATTAAATCGACTAGACTATACGCCTCCCCAAAATAAATTTTAATTTAAAATTCTCAGCGTCCCCTTTCCCTCGTGCGCATGTGTAGTCGCATCAACGTAAACATGACTTTAATCCGATGAAGTCATAAAGTCACGCAAAAACATTTTCCATACTGTTATAGTTTTTCCTTAAATATATATGTTGTGAAACGATGCCATCATAAGATAACCACACACGACTATCACCATAAGCCTCAACAGGACGTATTTCTCAAATTTAGCGAACGTAAGCGAAACACTGGAAATTAATGATGAACTACCACTTAAAACAATCTTCTCTGTATCGTGTCCCTTCAGAACTTTGGCGATCATGGCTCTCCATAATTTCCTGTTTTTGTAGCTCTAAATAAATTTTGTTTTTTGTTATCTCTCCTAAATCTTGTCCCGTCATCAAGCTCACCAGGTAGGTTACGCCTTGTTTTCTTCGTACTCTCTTGCCTTCGATCGGTCATGTGAGTATCGAATTTTCAAGTTTTCTTTTCACATTATGTGACCTAGAAATTTCATCTGTTTCTTTCTAATGTTAATTATTAATGTCCTTTTTGTTTCCATTTTCTCTAAAACTTTATCGTTGCTCACATATTCGGTTAATGATATTCTCAGAATCCTTCTGTAGAACCACATTTCTGTTGCTTCAAGTCTCTTTTTCATCTGTGTGGAGATTGTCCAGCATTCATTGACATATAGGAGGAGAGATATTACATAACAGTTCAGTAATCTTTGCTTTCTTCCTAACGAATTTTTTCTGTATCTTAATACTTTGCTTAGCTTTTGGATGGCATCTTCCGCTATCCCAACACGCCTTCGAGTTACAGTATCGCACTTTCCGTCCTCTGTTAAAACACTTCCCAGATATTTAAATTTTTGTACTTGTTTGATTTCAGTATCTCCAATTTGTAATTTACATGTGCTGTTCCTTTTGCTAACGACCACGCATTTCGTCTTGCAATTGGTGTGTAGTCCTTTCTTCTCGCTTTCTTTCATTACGTTACGTAGGAGTTAGCTCAGTGAAAACTTGATAACCGTCCCGTTAAGCTACCTGCACATCCTTAAGAAAGTATGAAATTGAAAAATTGCTATGTTTGTGGAAAATAATTTTTATACTGTTTTTAGCTTTTACTATAAGTACAAATTGTGTTGTGGAAATTCAGGGGGTTGTGATATTCATTTTACTCATGCAAATTGTTGTAGCGTTATGGTTATGTCCTCATTCACATAAATACAGTAGTAAATACTGTATGTTGGTCTGCAGTTGAAGATTCGTCTCCAGCTATGTTGGTCAAACTCTTTGCTTCCGGGCAGAGAGGATCCCCAGACAAAGCTATGTCGAAGGACAGAGTCTCGTCTCAGGAAACAGCAACTCGAAGCCGTTTTTTACGGGGTCTACGGGGAAATTTTGGCCGAGCACACGGGCTCGGATAACCCACATTAAATTCGGCCTTGTGCCACATCTGACCGCATGGGGAGGTTGGTAGATATCCTACAGTTGGAGATTCATTGTGGAATTCATTTGACTCTCTTCTAGCAGTTGACTACTTCTACGTGCCGCTGGCGAATCTTATATGTGTTGTTCTTGTCCTAAGTATTATAGTTCATTACCAACTTTCGTTTGATTATTCTATTCAGTAACCTTCCCTAGGTTACAACACAAATAAAAAAATTTTTAAAATCATTGCCATACGTTGTAATCAGTGGCATAGTTTTGTCTAATTGTCTGAGGTGAGCCAAACTCCAACTGAATCCGGAGGAAACTTCTCAACCTGATTCTCACTGGAAACAATAAAAAAAAATCCTGTACATCTACATTTGCTTTATACAGAATATTAACATTCCTGTGTGGCTCGAACGACCATAAATACCAGAGATTAAAGAGACATTAAAAGAGAAAAGGTTTGGAGTATAATTTAAAATGGCGACGTAATAGAACAATTTACAAACGGAATTAACATTGATATTTGGTATGAAAGATTAAATTTTATTTCATATCCACGTCCACTGACACATGACAAAAAGTCCGTTTTTATTTTCTAACACATATCAACTCAGAAACATAATCTACTGGAAATTTTGATGGACCCAAGGAAGCTTAGTGACATGGCTTTAAATGAAAAATGTTCTCGATGGACGATTAAATCCTTAACCAAACAAAATGATGGAAAATATCGTTTTAACACGACAGAGGCAAGGAAGTATGTTGAATGGTGGAGGTTATCTTATGACAACGTCAGTTCCCACCATATATTATGGGTTTGTTTCAGGATTAAAAGAAAATGCACATTGTTAATATATACAAAATAATGTTTTCTATAACACAATGTATATATATATATATATATAGATAGATAGATAGATAGATAGATAGATAGATAGATAGATACAGTCTCGAATAAAAAAGACAATATTGAAAAAAGAAAGAGAAAAAAGGTCTAAGGTAAACTTAACTACTCAGTAAAGTGCTCGAAGTCTAGATTGTCTCGAGTGAGCAAAAAACGCTTACCAACGTTAAATCCCATGAAAGGATGGCCCTAGTCGTAATTCGAGTTTCACACGATCTTCGGAACAAGAATGAAGATGGAGGTTCAAGAGTTTAAATGTAAATATCCAGGTGCATACGCATACGAGAGAGAGAGAGAGGGATGAGGGAGAAAATGTGTGTGTATATATGTGTGTGTGTGTGTGTATTCAAATGTAGCATCCGCCTGCTTTATAATGTGGGTGAAAGAAAGTATGCATGTTAATTAGTGTCAACGCATGACCGTGGACGCCAGTGGGTTGTAGTAATAGCAGGCGGCTACTGAATGTGGGATTGTGTGGGTTGCGCATGCATCGTATGACCGCTCTGGTTATATTATGATGACCGCGGCATCGGAGAATGAATTCATCTATTCTAATTTAGATTAATTTTCCATCATCTTATTATATGCATATCTAGAGACCCGCTTCGAACGTGCCGCTTCGCTTTTCATTGGTTCATGATTAGGGATCTTATATTCTGGTTGGGAGCAGCTCTTGTTTCGGGTTCGCTAGCTAGGCTAGGATGTTTGTATCCCATCTGGAACGGTTTCTGATTGGTTGGTCGAAATATGACTTCATGGCCTAACGATTCTAAATATAGATCTACTTGATGATAAAATTTTGGTCTCTTTGTTATTGTTTGTCTATTTTTATTTATTTTTCCATCACCACAGAAGAAAATGTGAGTATATTGATAAACTAAGAAAATTAAACATGCAATTTTGAAAACAGAATAAAATAAATGATCAAAGTTGGAGTTGCGGGAGATATTTGAAATTCGTTATCCAAAAGGAAGAGATTTAACTTTTGAAAATGTGATCGAGGTTGCTGTCGCCATGTATGATGCAAAGAAGGATACAACAGATGCAGGATTTGTTGCATAAGTTGTCTTTAGGTTACGGTATAAATCAAAATGAGAAAATAATTATTGAATAGAACATTAAAAAGTGGACTCTGGTGGAAGGGACACCTCCCCCCCCAAGTCAAAGTCAGCTTCTCGATGTTTCTATGAACAAACCGTTTAAGACATTAATTGAGGAGGAATGAACGAAACACGTGGATGCAACAGAAAAAATTTACTACAACTCATTCTGGACGAACGAAAAATGAACGCTTGTTCAGGTGTGCATGTGAGTGAAGAATACTGAGTGAAAAAAAAAAAAAACAGAATATAGCGATTAAAATCATTTACGAAATGTGACATCACTAACATAATTGATGGGCCCGAGGATGACAGTTTCTTTGATCACAATTATAAAATATCCGATTCTTTTCCAAGCAATGAGTGAAGGCAATGAAGATTTCGTAGGTTTTGCACCAAACTAAAGAACATTGAATCTTTTTTTTAATTTACGATTTTTTTCTTATTTTTGCGTTTAGAACAATTTATACTAATTTTTAAAGTTCTGGACTGAAATTTTATTCAATAAAAATACTATCAAATACAACCGTAGCTTTCTATTTCTGAAAACATTGTCATAAAAATAAAGGTGTTATCTCATCTTATATTCTGAAAAATAAGATATGTTTGACGTTGCCACCATCAGTCGAGATTAACATAAAACACAGGCGTTGATTGGCTAGAATAAACCAACTATTACCCTTCTACAATATCTCGCGAAAGTTCGTGATTCAAGCGAACTTAAAGAACTCCATCTTCACCGGACATTAACTAGTCATACTGAACTATCTGACCCCCACCAAATTGGAACAAAAAGAAAACCAATAGAGACATTTTTTCCTTAAAAAAAACCGGCGAGACGTTATTTGAAATATCTAAAGTTCCAGTGGATTATAGATTCTCTTATGATTGTCAATGGTAAGCATCTCTTACAATGTTGTCAAAGTAGATGACATACTCATAAGAAATAGAAATGATTAAGAGTACCTCGAAAATTTGGAAAGAGTTTTCAAGGTATTGAAAAAAAAAAAAGAAGTTGAGGCTTTGGAAAAATAAATGCCATTTCCCAGAAGACAAGGCGACATGATTAGGGTTTTTGATATGTAAACGTTGAAGCCATTCGTCAAACTATAAAACCCGACAAATGTTACTCAGCTGAAATCATTTTATTTATGATTAATTAATATAACAAGCATCTTATACACGGCCCTAGAGCCACTTCATAAAGTATTAAGCAAAATTTCGATGTGCGTTTGAGAAGTGGGACAGGAAGGAGGTTTTTGAAAAGCGCACACACACACACACACACACACACACACACACACACACACACACGCACGCACACACACAATGCTGATGAATGTTTGGTTGTTGATCCATTATGATGCAACTCTTCCAATAAAGATAAGTTGTGACACATCACTAAATGTGTCGGGCGTAGAACTAATACCAGTTGTGGTAAATAACTAAGAAAAAGATGGCTTATAGCTTTTAAACGCTAACAACTTCAGAGAAAAAATACCGAAAACAGCCAATTTGAGAAAGAATCTCTGGTAACCATTTGTGCAGTGCGTAAATTTAACTAGTATATGTGAGGTCAAAAGTTTATCACGACAGATCACAGAATTATCGTAGGATTATTGGGACCCGAAAAACACAAACCAATTTTTGCAGCAGTATTTTCCGATAGTTTTATTGGCAGACAACTGTAGCGGTTTGTAAAGCTCACTGTTAGAAATTGATAAGTTTGTGTTGCTTGTAGTTGAAAGAGAGAATAAGATGAGTTAAGAGATGTGCAATGTTCGTACGTACGTGTGTGTGTGTGTGTGTGTGTGTGTCATAGCGTATTCCCATAAGGGACAGACGTAATCTCTCTAACGCTACATCTTGTGTGTGAGAGAAGGCATAAGAGGAAGGGTTTGAAATGTCGGTAAGTATTTATAATTAATGTGAATCGCGTGATAGGATCGAATCACACAGATTTTTGGCGGTAAATTAATTTTAACAGTGCGGACGTAGGCGAAAGCATGATATTGGCATTAATTGACTTATCAGGAGTCAGGTAAATATTAAGGCTATGTGATCCACTTTGGTGTTTAGCTTGTTCAAAATATGACGTCGAAAGTGGTAGCAGAACGCTAAACAATTATAAGCTAAAATATAAATTTGGTCAGTTAAATGAAAATACTAATCGAATTTCAAGATTCTTCATTGCAGCAAAGAACAAAGAGGTTTTACAAAAGAAAAACAATGTAGAAGTTAGACGTAGAAAGATCCCTGCGAATAATCATGGAAATAGCAATACAGATGAAGGAGGGCTCGATATTTTGACAACTACTACAGAATGTTTTGGAAAGATGGCCCGAGGGCAAGCATATTCGCGAATTATTTTGTTATACGAAAATAATGCACAACGCTGACAATTGATAGGAGGGTTTTGCTAGAGAGTTCTAAGGTAATAATATCCAGTCCGTGAGAAAACAGACCCTAAAATAATTACACCTACTACAAGGGCCGATGCAAGTGTTTCGTGGACCGCCACCGAATTTATAACATATCCCCGCTACTAAATTTCAATTTTCATAAGGTAGTATTCATATAAAATACAAATTTTATTGCAACCTAATTATGTACAATAATGGATCACATGCAATATAGGTGAACAATTAGAAAAAATTTAAATAATTACAATGTATCTAAATACAAATTAGAGACGTTATAATAGATCATTCCATCTTAAATAAATGAAGTTTGGGGCCTTTTTTCATCATGGTATGCTGCTTTTTGGCGAATTATTAAACTTACCTACTTGTAAGCAACGAGGCAATTCGTTGCAATCTCAAACTATTATTACTCGAGACGCTGTGAAGTGCTATATCTTTTTTTCCTATCACGTCGAAATTAGGGTACAAAGCTTCTGAGTTGCCTAACTGTGTGAGTTTTTCCCCTCCCTCGTCGGCATAAAAAAATCCGACAATACTGTATTGTAATTCTACCCCTGTCCAAAAAAGCGCGGGAAAAATAAAACAAAGTAATGTGGAAGATCAGCAGTTCAATAATAAAAAAATGTTAATTATGTTTAAAAAAATATTCTTTAACATTATTGTTAGGGGACCTTACCCATAATAACATAATGGACTATTCCATACGTAATAAATACTGCGCCTTAAGAGGAAGCAGGGAGTTCAGCTTGAACTCGGGCGACCGGCTGATCGTTAGAACTCTCTGCCTTCGGGCTGGGAGGAAACCGAATGAGGCTACGCCGAAGGGCGGAGTCTCTTTCGGGGAGGTAAACTGACCCTGAACCCGTTTATACAGGTTCAAAGGGCATATTTTTGTCCGAGCCCACGGGCTCGGAGATACCACGTTAAACCGGCCTTGTGCCACATGATGCCCTCGTTGGGAGGGGGACTAAATACTGTTCAGTCTGGAGTGAGGTCCGTCAGAAGTCCGTCAGGAGTCTGTCAGTCAGTCAGAGCGAGTCAGTCAGTCGAATCAGAGGCTGTCCGAAACAGAGTCGCGTTCAGACAATTACTCCTAAACCTGATTGTTCATACTAACACTTTCTACTTCTCTGTATATATTCCTGTTTGTAATATATCTGTGTTATTCCATATACGTGTTCGAGTTCTTCTTTATTGGTTCTACCTTGGACTATCACAGTGGTACAAGGAACCGGACCATAACAATTATATAACCAATAGTTGAAGAATTTTTTTATTCTATACGCTTTTATTTAAACTTAGTATAAAGAATAAATTTGAAGGTATTAAGGCGTTACTTAAACAAAAATATAGCGTAAATGTAATTTGCCCTAAATTAATGTGAAAGGAAAATTATTTCTTCTAAGAGTAAATTTTAGAAAAATTACAATAAAGTATTCTTTTTTATACGAATGAAATAGTTTCGAAATAATTTTAAATTTTTTTCTTAGTGGCGAGGTGTTGTGTTGTGTTGTGGTTTCAAATTGGTTAACAAATTTCAATGAGAAATAAAAAAAAAATTTAACATCTTGTTTACTCTATCTCTGTCTTGTTTTGCAAACTGGTCAACGAATTGATTATTAAATTATGGATCAATAATTGTTGAGTAAATAGGCTGCGTGATGAAATTAACAATTTCCTCTCACATTAAAATTTCAATATTCAACAAATACGAGAAACAACAGTTTTTGCACAACAATGAATATAAAATATTTATATAACCAAGAGGTACAAACAACTCGAGTAAAGAGGTAGTTTTAAAAAGTTCAAAAGTCCTTTTTTATGTTTAGATTAAAGTGTTATCAAAGTTCTGGTTTGATAGATAATAAGTTGTTGAATGGTTTGTACAATAATGAGAGAATGTGTTTTGGGTATTATTGTAATTTAAGGAAAAATAAACAGTTCAAGTTTGTACTTAAAACACGAACAGAATTATATTGTCAGTAGAGTTGGGGAAGTGTATGCGAGAACACAGAATGTAAAAACATATTGAAGAGACATGTGAATCGAAGACCAACTTCTTATGAACAATGGGAAATGTCCGTAACACCTCCAGAATCTGCTATCGATGGTGCTGAAATGTCGAGCCTTGTTGTAGTCACAAAGTCACTGGACTGAAAGACGTTCTCGTGGAACTTGCGCTAATGGACAAAAAAAAAAGACGCATCTATTTTGTCAGTCGAATCCGAAGCAAGCTCTATCCCATCGACTGAAACCATTCCTAAATACAACCCAGCGGTACCGGAAACATCAAATATCGTTCCTTAGCCTCTGTCCTTAAGCAGCCAATGAGGATCCAAAAGCTGTCTTGTTTCGTCAAAGAGCTTGTGTAAAAAAAATGTCGATAGTGAACACTGGTTTCTTCATGCTAATGGTGAAGATGTGGGAACTTAGGCTGTTTCTTTTTGCGATTTTCAATTTGAAATGACACAAAGACATTTAAATTATAATCGCCAACCTTCGTGTTTATTTGCATACATCTGGCTGAGGCGACCTAAACTCCTGTTCGGACCACAATAAACTGTGACCGGCTGAGAAAAAAAGAGGAGGATTGTAGTAACGGACAGATCACACCCGGAAGTGAGTCTGGTGAAAGCTTCTCAACCTGACTACGATTGGGAGTGACCAAAATGTTCCTGAATTCGCTGCTCAAAATTTGGGTCACGGAAGAAAGAAAAATTAAATTCCAACATTGATCTTTTCTATAAACAGCTAGTTTCATGCTGAAAATATTTTGTGATCGGATGACCCACTGTGCAGCTTAGCACGACAAGCCATGATCCAGCTCACTCAATAACATTTCACTTTGCAGTTTGCATGTTTGTTTCTTCTTCTTTGAAATGAAACTGGGCACATTTTGCATCTTTTTGTACAACAGATGCCGTTCTAAATCGCAAGAAATGTTCTACATTAATTTTATCATATCCATTACAAATCGACCGGCAGTTAATTTAAATACATACATTGTTTTTATTAATACTGTTATAACTGCACAAACACACACATAAACTTTTTTTCATATAACCTTACAGAGCAATATCACAAAATGGAAAATCTGCCTCCATTTAAAAAGCTACTTAACTTACTTAACGCTTGATAATTCTGCGCCTAAAACAAATTTGAATATTTAGGCATTTTATTCATTTTTTTTTAATTCGGCACGAGCAGATTTTATATTTGCTTGTTAAATAAATTATTTTGTTAATATTGTCACAAATATATTTTCTTCCATTTTTATTTGCCTTCAAATTTATACCCGTAAAACACAAACATTACTTGAAATACAGAAGACATGAAGAATTATTCCTCCATACTTCACAGAACAAAAAAAATAAAACAAATTTTTTTCGATATAAATTTCTATATCTATCGAATTATAAAAAATATAATTTTAATTCATAGTACAAATAGAATAAATCAATCTTTACTTCACTCTATGTTAGTATCTTCAATAATTCACCGAAAAAAAAAAAAACAAAACAGCATAGCATGCTGAAAAAGGCCCCAAACTTGATAAAAACAAAGTTTTATCGTCAAAATATTTTATTATTTTAAAATTTTTTTTTAATCCTTTCTAACATGTTCAAAGTTTGGTTAAAAATATTGTTTTTTTTTTTTTTTTTTTTTTCACGCGGTCATTTGAATATCACATTAATTTGAAAATTCTTGCAAAAATCAAGTAATTGTCGGATATTAGTGAAACTTTAAGATCTTATTCACAAATGAATTAAATTATTTTAGAAATATTTGTTTTTTAGAAAGTCATGGTAAAAATATTTACATGTTATTCTCTGTAGTGATATGCAAATTAGTATAATTTTGCATATGAAAAGCAGGTATAAAAAATAACACCAACGAAACAAGTGGAATAAGAACTTAGTGGATACACGACATAACAATGGCGTCGCCGATAGGATACTCTTTGGTCCTTGAAGACCCAGAAAACGTTTACACGTTTATTCGTTGCTTTGCTGCTAATGCTAGATGTAAAAAGTTGAAAGACAACAAAAACAGAGGAGGGGAAAATGAAATCACCGACTTGTTCATGGCTACCGCTGGTTGTGAAAAAATTATGAAGGTTGCTAAAATGGTTTATCCTCGAGAACTAGAAGAAATGACTTTCGAAGAAATAAGTCAGGTTATTAAGGAAACATGAGGCCAAAGAAAAAGACTAACAATTGCAGAAAGGACCAAATTTATGGCAATGAAGCAGGAAGTGGATGGACCGATAGTAAAATATTTAAAAACACAATAAATACTGTGAATTCGAAAAACTAGGAACAGGCGAGCAGACAACGGAAGAAGAATTAATCCAACTAAGATTAATTGAAGGTATGCATAATTCGGCAATAGATATAAGTTAATGGAACAGTTACAACTTATTTAACATGCCTTTGAATATGAATATAGAATTTATAAACAGCAGGAATTAATACATACCTACAAAAAAAATAAAAATAAATCCTTTTTTTTTTTTAAGAAACAATGGCTGAAACATATACGGTACAAACAAAAAATTAAAAAAATTGTGCGTACTGTGGAAAAATTCATGAAATGAAAAAAAAATGCCCAGCCTTTGGAAAGACGTGTTCAAAGTGTTTAAAAAAAAAAAATCACTTCAAAGAAGTATGTAAAACGAAAAATGTGGAAAGAGTAGAGTATGAAAATAGACAGATTTTTAATGTTTAATATACAAAATACTGGATCTAAGAACGAAGATACAAAATAAAAGTGAAAATCAACGACTGTATTGTCGAAATGCAAATCGACACAGGTAGTGACGTCACGATAGTACCCAGAAATTTGTGGGAAAAAATGGGAAAACCGTTTTTAAAAAAAACCAATGTTGAACTACGTCAGTTTGATGGCTCGATTATAGCAATTATGGGTTACTTTGAAGGTTCAATAGAATTAAAAGAAAATATGAAATAGTACCCATTATATTTACAAATTGCCGAAAAACGCATGGACTACTGGGGAATGATGTGTTAAAAATAAATTCAACGAAGTTGATTAATGAGATAGAAATAGAAAAACAGGAAAATTAAAAAACTATGAAGCTAGCCTGAAATTAAAAGATGTTTCCCCTCCTACTACGAAGCGAGAAAATACCAGTGCATTTATTACCATTGGTAATAGCTAAATTGCAAAGCTAATAAAGGAAGACTTATTAGAACCTGCCCCTCCAGGAGAAGTAAATGGGCATCACCCATCGTGGTATTGAAAAAAAAAGATGGTGACCTGAGAATTTGTGGAGATTATAAAATAGGGTTTAAACCATAAAGTTTGTGCTGACTCGTACCCTATTCCAAATGTGGAAGTAGCTTTACATAAGCTTGCTGGAATGAAAGTATTTTCGAAGATAGACCTAAAATCAGCTTACCACCAAATACCGATAAATGAAAATTTTTCAGAAGTGACGACTATAAACACACCTATAGGCCTGTTAAGGTGGAAAAGAATGCCGTATGGCATAAAAACGGCAAGTGCAATTTTTCAAAAGCTATTGAAAAAGTAATAGGAAATGTTGAAAATACCATCTGTTATCAAGACGATATATGTGTTGGAGATTTAAATGAAGATGATTTAAAGAAAAAAACTGAAAATATACTGAACCGGCTGAGAGACGCTGGTATGACAATAAATACAAAAAAGTGTGTAACCAACAGTAATGAAATATCATTTTGGGTTACTCAATATCAAAGGAAGGGATCTCTCAGATAAAGTACTAATAGAGAAAATTCTAAAAGTTGCTACACCAAAAATAAAAAATTGAGTCCTTCTTAGGTTTGGTAAATTTTATAAAAATATGTAAAAATATAATGAGTTGACAGAGCCATTTGCTAAGTTAAGAAAAAAAAAAAAAATGAATTCATTTGGTTAGAACACCAACAGAAAAGCCTTTGAAAACTTAAAACAGATTCTGGCAAAAAAATGTTAGAATAGTACAAATTTTTTAACCCTAAGAAGGACATAACTCTAACTACTGATGCTAGTGAGCAGTCCATATCTGGTATTTGGTCACAAGATGGGCATCCCATAATGTATTTATCAAGGAGATTAACAACAACTGAACACAATTATTCGAATATAGAAAGGAGGCACTAGCCATAGTGTGGACAACGCATAAAGCAAGACAGTTTTGATGGGGAAAAAATTTTGTTGAAAAGTGATCATAGACCACTGAATTTATTTTTCAACCCAAGAAAAGAGCTAAAAAGTTACAACGTCCAGAATATTACGTTGGGCAATTAGACTGATGGCGTTCGACTTTGACATTGAATATGTTAAAGGGAATACGATACCGCACGTTGATGCCTTATCTAGATTGAGGTTTTATAGAGAGGAGGACAAAAACGACGAGAATTTGAAGACACATTCTTGCAAGAAACCGATGTAATATCTGTAGATAAAATGGCTACTGAAACTACAAATGACCCAGTGTTAAATAGAATAATGTCGAGGATAAAACAGAATCGCTGGGGAAATTGTTCAATGGCTGAAAGACCATTCAAAGAAATCAGACATAAAATGACTATAGAAAACGGGATAATATGTAATGGAGACTTGGTAGTTCCCCCAGAAACACAGAGGAGACAGGTTATAAAAGTGTAATATTTGACGTACATTGTGGAGTGGCAGCTACGCAAAGAAGATTAAAATTGGAAGCCTGGTGGCCAAAGAGACGTAGAAGACTACGTAAAAGATGCAAAAAATGCACAGAACTCAGGAATTTTAAGCAAAAACTTTCGAAAATACATGTATGGCCCCGAGAAGTAGAACCATGGAGCAGAGTACACATGGACTATGTCAATGGGATAGGACTTTATTAATATTAGTAGACGCATATTCAGGTTGGCCTGAAGTGGTGAGAGTTTCCTGATAAAAAAGTACCACCGTAAAACAAATATTAAGAGTAATATTTTCGAGGAATGGGACACCGAGAACATTGGTGACTGATAACGCACCAGAATTTGTGGATGCTGATTTGCATGAATGGCTACGAAAAAATAGGATGCAGACCTTACAAGACCCCTCCCTACCACCCTCAAAGTAATGGGGCAGCGGAAAGGATGGTCCAGACATTGAAAAGGCATAAAAGCATGCTTGCAACAGAAGGAGGAAATTGCTTTCCTACCAAGATTACTATTAAGTTACAGAACAATTCCACATGCAGGCAGGCCGGAAAGTCTATCTGCCTTAATTGGGCAGACAATTAAGGTCCCTTTGACTATGTCATATGCCACAAATCAAAAGATGTGGTACAAAAGAAATAGGAATATGCAACCAGAGTCAGCCAATTTATTATGCAGAAAGGACATAATAATGCAATATTAAATAAAGAAAATGGGAACAGTGTTCTAGCTCATGCTGACCAAATAAGATCCCAAGGAGAAGAATCTGATGAGGAAATGCCTTCAGAGATGCCCATTATTGATGTATCAGAAGAGTTAATGCAGAATGAAACTGCGCAGGGAAGAAGTAGAGAGGGATGAATTAGAAGAGGAAGACCAGAGTATGCAAGAGGAACAATTTGATTATAGGGAAAGACGTGATAGATCTAGATCTCCAAGGAAAAGAGGATAAAGGAAGATGTTCGGGAGGGCACAAGAAGAAGTTACAAAAAAGTACTTTTATTTAAGGCCCCTCCGTTATAGGGAGATGTTGCAAATTAGTATAATTTGCATATGAGCAGGTAGCTCAAAATGGACACCAACGAGA